AAACCTCATAATCCCTAAACCCCAAAGCCTCGGAGAAGGTCGAGCTCACGTCCGAGGGGCGTCTCCAAAGCTATGAGGCAAGGCCTTTAAGACCTCGAAGCTTGCCCTTGAATTAGGGGTTATATAGGGATAATGGAAAAGAGAATGGAAACTACGATAATGGGTTATATAGGGGTTATATAGGGTTTAATATAAGGTTATATGGGTGGTTGTCAAAATTATGGTCCCTTTTTGGATCCCTATTATAATACGGCACCTAATATTTAAGGTACCCAAAAAGGGACCATAATTTTGACAACCAGAACATGGAAGCTGCTATGGGTTATATAAGTTATATCGGGGTTATATAGGGCCAACGGAACAGAACATGGAAGTTGCTATGGGTTATATAAGTTATATCGGGGTTATATAGGGCCAACGGAACAGAACATGGAAGCTGCTATGGGTTATATAGAGGTTATATATAGGGAGAGTGGAAAAGAACAAGGAAGGTACTACAATGGGTTATATAGGGGTTAGGTAGGGTAATGGAGCCATGAACCCTAAACCCTTTTAGGGCTCATGAGGGCATAGGGTTTTGGGGTTTTAGGGGCTCCTAAAGGGGATCTCACTATAACATACCCAAAGCCATATTCTTTCTACGATTATCTACTTAAGGGGGACTATACATCTGAAAGCTTCATTTGGAGATGTAAGCCGGGCGCATGCGAGGTTCAGCGTTTAGAATTTGGAGGCCGATGGCGTTTGAGGTGGGACCTCAATGCGACGGTTTTTTTTTTTTTTCGGATTATTTCGTTTCTTTGGCCAGCTCTTAACCTTTGGATGATTTCTGACCCTCGCCCAGTCTCCCAAACCCCGGAATCATAAGCCTCAGACCTAGGACCTAGAAGAACCCCTGGAACATGAAACCTCAAGCTTGAAAGCAGGCAACCCCAAACTATAAAGCCTATAAATCTGACCTCAAACCATACCCAAAATCTTGAAAGGCGGGGCTCGCCCCTAGCGCTGAGGTAGAAGAGCATCTCGGCGTTCAGCAATGGGGCTGGGAGTCTGGAGTTATATAGGGTTATATAGGGATAATGGAAAAGAAAATGGAAACTACTATTTAGGGTTTAGGTGTAGGGTCTATCCTCGTCGCAGTCGTAAGTACAAGGAGTACAAGGGTTGAATCTCAAAAGCAGTTTGGGATTGCGTGGGCGCCCTGGTGGAACATGGGGCTAGAGTTTAGGGATGAAGGTTTGTAAGTTAGGTGTGTCAACTAGGTTGCTCAGATTCTCCAACTACAGTCCCATTTCTAAACGCACTACTCGCAGCGGCCAGAGTACGACGCACACCTATCAGGCATGGAATTCGTAGAGCTAGCTGTAAGTTGCCCAGGCCAGTTGCAAGCATAGGAGAAACCAGCAAGTCAGGCTCGACCATTCTAATTCTTGCCAAGTCAGATATAGTTACAATCTGTGTATGCTCAAAGCCAGAACTTCTCATCCCCAGATCCTCAAAGCCCATAAGCCCATAAGCTTTAAAGTCCGTAAAAGCGAAGTGCTGATTTTGATGGCTTCTCCCTGTAGCTTTACGGTAACTTGGCGGGGTGCCCAGTATCAAAGTATATTCGTGGGCGGCGGAATGACTGCTATATGCAGGTGCCCAAAAGCCCAAGTATGTAGGACAACCGAACGTTAGGTAGGGATTGTTGCAGTGGGTTATACATAGACTGCTAAATGGATCCAGGTGCCTAACCCTCAGAGGACCCAAAACCTCAAACCTCAAACCCCAGACCTCAACCCTAAACCTTTAACTCTAAACCTTCAATCCTAAATCTCAACCCTTAAACCCTAAACCCTCAACGAAAAGGTCCGAGAAAAAAAAACCTTAAAACCTCAATCCTATAAATCCTAAACCCTAATCCCTCGAAGCGCTGACTTTCAGGTGGCGGCTCGCCGCGCGGGAACGCTACTGGCGCCGCAGTCCGGATCAGGAGAACTGGGTGAGGCTAAGGGTTTATGGAGCTTCTTGTGTTCTGGCTGTGTGAGAGTCCAGATGCAAAAAAAGGGATATGGTTTAGAGTTTAGGGTTCAGGGTGTAGGGATTGCAGAGTTTAGGGAGTAATTAACGGTAGGGTTTAGACTGTAGGGTAGTACTGTAGGGTTTACGGATTACAGGGTTCAGGCATTAGGAGCTAGGGTGTTAGGGTGTAATCTGGGTCTACTTGCTGTTGGGGGTGATTTAACAACAATTTTTTTTAGGGAGCTCGTGAGAAACCCTAAGCCTCGAGCCGAGACCTCGCGAGTCGCTCTATGCCCATGCAAATGGCAAAAATCTAAACTCTCCCCAAACCTCCAAACCAGCATGGAACGGACAGCGGGCTTCAGAAGGACCCTCTGGAGGTTCCATGCTTGTTTGGGGGAGGGTACAGGGGTTGTGGTTTTCCAGACCTCGGGTGTTGGGGTTTGAGGTCTGACGAGTCCCTTATAGGGTTTAGGGGCTGACCCGACACCCTATAAACCCTAAACCCCGGGATATAAGGACTTCGCGGCTTCTCTGGATTTGGGGATGGCGGGGTCAAGGCATTCAGCGGCTAGTGCTTTCCTGAACGGACAATTTGAGTTTTGGGATTGATTGTCTGCAGGGTTCTCTTAAGGGTTCGTAAGGGTTCGTAGTAGGGAATTCGGGAATGTAATCCTTAAAGAGTCCTTACAAACACTATACGTAATCCCATATTCCTTGCTGAGAGCCAGTAAGTGCTATGGTTTCGGGTGAAATTGTTGCAGGATAACATGTCTAGAAAGGTTTTGATATCGACCCAGCCTTTGAGGCTTAGCCCTTCCCCCTGGACCTTTAAACCATAGATCTTGCTGAAAGCGCTTTCTCATCCCCGGTACCTTGAGATCCGGCTAATCGCAAGTAGCATCAGCTTTGACCGATATTCCTACATTGTACTTGTAGGTTTAAGACATTCAGATTTGCGGTTTTCTCAGAGAAGCCATATAGAGTCTTGACGCTATTCTCCACATTTAAACCTTATGTAAATGTAAGCCTTATCTAAGACTACCTACCTGAGAGCCGTCCACCCCGTAATGCCCTCAACCTACACAAGCCCCGCTTGACTGGGTTGCTGGTAAAGAACTTTTTGTACGTTGCTTCAATAAGGAAAGCCATTTCTGGTCATATGCCTTTGATATCGTAATTCAAGTTGCTCAACAGCAACCCAGTTGAACAAGACTGCCCACCTCTTAACTGCCCACCTGGAATTTCCTCAACCTAACAAACCAAACCAAGACTCCCTTGAAGCGCGATAGACAGGAGATCAAGGGGCTCCTCCCTCGGCCTCCCGAGGAGTTTTGGGAGGTATGAGGTTGTTTCTCATGATGTAGTTTTCGTTTTTTGGGTGCTGGGGTTGGTTATCAAGAAAATATGCAACACCCAAAGGAACTACAACGGAGGTTTCAGGCTCCCGAAGTCTTTTCAACAGCTCCCCGACCCTCCCACCCCTAAAAACAGCAACGAATGCTTGTTATATGCTGACATGTTATTCTGACCCGGCGGCAAGGTAAGCCAAATGAGGATGATAAGTAGGATTACGATCCCGATTCTATAAGTAGTTACTACGACTAGTTGCTATGCTTCGGGGACCTCCAGGTATGGCTTAGGCTGGGTGATCACAAACACGGGATAATGGTAGCTTTCTCTACGGTTGCAGTATAGACCTATTTTACCTCAATTTCCGGGCAGGAGTGCCACTTCAAAATCAGGTTCCAATTGAGAGTTATCCGCCTAGATCTTGGGATTTAAGTGCTACATACATTATTTATGTATAGATACACTATCATATATATATATATGGCACGGTCATCCTTGGTAAGGACCCACAAACTGGTATCCCCAACTTAGGGAGATCCCGATGCATCATATACATATATACACATACATACACCCATACAAACGCGGTGGGGTCCTGACCCTCCTGGTCTCAGGTTCCACGGATTTCAGAAGACTTCCAGTTGTTCCGGTGTTCTGCGTCGTGAGTTTTTGTGCTTAGGGCTTATGGGTTTGGGGTTGAGGTCTAGGGCTAGGGTTTAGGGTTATAGGGTTTCTCATGCCAATATACGCCTGCCCTCAAACATGTACCGAATCCTTGGAGTGTGTCGGTAGTAAAGTTTGTGGCTAGTTTCCAGGCTCGAGGCCGAAAAGTGGTGCTATTAAGGCTACAGTCTTGACAAGGAAGTGGCCCCTACTGTCCCTTCAGAGGCATTGTCTCGGGGAGGTTAAATTGCGGGCCCTCCCCGATTTGTCCGTTGGGTTTCATCTCTGCTGCTCCCTGAGACATGTAACTTTGAGAAAAGGGTGGGTGTTGTTTAGGGGTCTATCACAGGCACACCGTCCAGAATTTCGGGTCATTGGAGGTTCAGGACTCATGCAGGGCTTGGGCTATTTTGGGGAGGGTTTGAGGTCGAGGGTATTCCGGCAGGGTGCAGCCCATGGTATACCGCTTCAAAATACCGTTTTACCGCCTTTGTTAGTCTTTGCGTCTCGGGTTTCAGTGCTTAGGGCTTAGGGGCCTAAGAGAAGCTGTATCTATTCTTGTCCGCTACACTCACAAATAGGACAGTGCTTAAAGCAGTGGAAGTGGGGTGAAAGGCCAGCCAGGCGTCAGGACTCCCGCCCGAAGTCCCACAGCAGCCCACAGGTTAAGAAGATGCGACTCTGTATTCTATCGACTTTTGGCTGCTTGACTTTGGGACCTATAAACACCTGATCTGCACCCTAAACCCTCAAACCTGTCTCAGCCGCAAGCAGGAAACTTTGGAGTTCTCGGATAGCCAGGCGGGCGCTGTTTACCTGGTGACAGTACCCGAAAAGGATGTCCAGCGTGTTCTCTGTCATTCTGTCTAAATCACGTGTGTTTTGCGCAGGCGGCACTTGTATGCGGGGTGTCCGAAGGTCTTGTGTACGAAGAACCACCATGCCGAAAGTATTCGGGTTACTAGGCCGCTAGGCTAGGAATATCTTGTGGTTTCATGTGGCAACAGGGTATGAAAACTAGCATGCGCAAGGCGTCAGCTTTCAGGAAATCAGTCTCGAAGAGACAGGCACATGAGCCTCAGTGTTGCTGGGTCCCGACCGCTCATGAGGTAGAGTCTTCGCCCCCCCTCCGCCCCCATAATTCCCGTATTGACGGCCCTCAGCATGCAGCTTCAAAAGCACCTCTGTAAAATTCAAATATTATCCTAGGGATCCAAGTATACAAATAACGCCTACATTGGGCCCCATTGGGCCAAAGTTCGATCCCTAGGGTTAATATAACCTGCAATTGTAGACCCTAAGGGATGAGCTACATCAGTGACCTGACAGGAGCAGCTATTTGCAGAGGAGAAGCTGGAGAGAGTGGATCTGTCTGAAGAGGCCAGACGAGGGGCATGCGGTCAAAGGTTTGTGCGCATATAATATATTTTAGTATATCGCAGTAAAATATAGGATATATATATATATAGAGATATATAGATATAGACCTATCTATCTATCTATCTATCTATCTTAGTACAAGGGCTGTGGGACAAGGATATAGGAGTCAGCAATCGGCCTTCAGACTTTAGATGTTTAAGCTATCTGGGTTCCTGTTGTAGTTACGCATATAACGGTTGGGAAGCATTTAGGGAACAAAGAATTGGGGAAGCATGCGCGCTACCGCTAGAGGATAGCTACTTCATATAGAGCCTTGCGTTGAGGCACCCAGGTTTTACAAGCACTCGCTTGTTTCAATCTTGACCCGCAGGCCTTGGCCTAGGAGTTGACACAAGCAGATATCAGCCCTCACTCCAATTTGCAAGAGCTACGATCTAAAACACGAGACTGGTCTGAGGCTAGGACCAGGATTCTGCAGCAATTCTGCAAATGACAGGGTTCTACAGTTTGATTAAGGAATGAAGCCTTTCACTTAGCGTTCTCTGTGTTGCAGGCATTGGAGTTTGAGATTGTCTTGGCGGAGAGGTACTTTGCTGAAATTGTGTCAGTGATTCTCCCTGCTTCTTCAACGGCCCGCACCTAACTGGGGGCCAAAGGCCCGGGAACCTCTGGTTTATAATAATGGGTGTATATCGGAGCTTTCCTGCACTTGTCAAGAAAGACCATGTGCGAACAGAGGATATTCAGCTAGTGGACAAACAGGGTTTAGGGTTCAAGGGCTTAAACAAGTTACCTATGATGGAGAGTCAAACGGAAGACAACAACTGAAGCACTGAACCTCCATGCATGGCAGAGAATGCGGGATGCGCCAGGCTGCCTGACCCTAGACCCTAAATCCTAAACCCTTCTGCACAGTCTAGCTAACCTGGCACTTGGAGCCCATCTTAAGTTACTTCATGTGAGGGCCTTGTTCATAGAATACGTTTTGTTCAGGGGGGGGCGGGGGCGAGAATCTGGGCGCTTCTTTTGGGAACCCCTTTATGACGATTTATAGACATTGGGGCCCAATGTAGGTATTATTTATAGACATGAAGCCCCAGGGTAACTATGACCTCCATTTTCATTTCACTTGCAGTGAGAGGAGTCGCTTCGTATGCGGTCAGCTACAACAAGCCTTCAGCACGGAGACATGGGTGGTCGCGCGCTATGTCCCTATAGTCGCCCTCAAGTAGATAGAATATGGCTTAGGGAGATATTCTAATAAGATCCACATACACCCCATATTCTATCTACTTAAGGGGGACTATAGGTCCTTGCCCATGGCCCGAAAGGCCCCACAAGGGCACAGCGGCAAAAGCAAGACGTGTGGATATCCCTAATATAACCTTAATATAACCCCAATCAATAATATACCCCAATATACCATGTTATATGGTAGTTTCCATTTTCGTTTCCATTATCCCTATATAGCCCCAATAACCCTAAACCCTAAACCCTAAACCCTATAGTAATTTCCATTTTGTGTTCCAGACGCGGCATAGAAAGCCAAGCGACCCGCGACAGCCGAGGCACGTGGACCCGCCCCTGTGGCTGGAAGCGTGGCTTCGTGAATACTTCGTGGTGGAGGACGCGGTTTAGGGCTTAGGGGTTTAGGGTTTAGGGCTTAGGGTTTAGGGTTTAGGGCTTAGGGTTCAGGGGTGTAACCGTCTTGAGGAAAGGAAGAGGGTTTGGGTGCATAGGGTCTAAGCCTTAAACCCTATTCTGAGTGTTATCTGGAGGGTTCCTATGCATCGAGAACCCTGTGACGTAGGGACCCTGTGGAAACTTACTAACAAGCTGTATCCTGCATGTTGTCAGATGTACAACGACTAGACCTCCCTTACGCCTAATGTTAACCTCTAATAAGAAGCCCCCCAACCCCCCCGAGGATGTGAACCCGAGCCCGTAATTAAGGGTGTCCGGGACCGTGAGCTGGAACTCCAGTCGTCGTAGCCAATACTAGTACTGGCCAGTACTCCAAAGAGCAAGCGTTTTCCAAATCTTGGGCAACACAGTACTCTTCGAGCGCTTCCAGAATTTTTGCGTTTTGGCAGGTTGGATTTTGCAATTATGGGGGGGGGGGCTTGTAATTACGTTTTGGGATTTGGATTTTGCAGTTACGCGAGGGTTTATTAATGTGAGGTGAACATTTTAAGAATATTTCGAGGTGCCTTTCCCATACCGCACGCTTACATTGAACAATCCCAACTTCTACTACCAAATACCGCTCCAACATACACTGCGGCTTGTAGGGAAGGGTTTGATACTAGGTGGAAAGGGGATTGTGAATCTGCGGGAGAGGATTACCATTGTTGGATGCCTCCCTCGAAAACCAGCAGATGGATACCACACTTTGCACAAGCACACACGGAACCTGAAGAAACTGCTTCAGTCCCCACGGCTCCCCGTGTAGAGGTTTTAGGGAATGCTCCAACACCCTAACCCCAAGTGTCCAAGTACCAAACACTCATATGCTTCCCCAAATCCTGTACTACAAGTACAGGCACCAAAATCCCAAGTACCAAATTATTGAGTACATGGACCCTTAGGGCAACAGTATTTGGTTGGGGGGTGCAACTCTGTAAGCGAAACATACTTTTGTGGGCCTTAGCCACATGAACCAGCACATGCTGACGAGCCCAAGAGATGACAAGTGCTCACAAGCTTGCGCATCTGGTTCAAAGGCTTGGTGAACAACCTCCTCGACGAAAACTTGAGTGCGTAGTCACAGCTCACCCCATAGCAGTCAAAGCCCGAAACTGCATCGCCTTCATCCTGCAGACGTTTTCGCTAGAGCCTGAACAGCCATTCTGAGATAGGTCTCATGTTTGTGACATACCTACGAGGGAAATGCGTAGCACATTTTCTCGCCTAGGGACATCATCCCCCAAGTGCCCTTGCAGTCATACAGCGTACACTCAGGTTTCAAGTATGTATGATCAAGCTGCATGGGCCCGCTGGCTTACATCTCCCAGCTTCCCTTCCAACGAAGGACGATATGGTCTACTTGCCATTCCTGAAGCCTTGGAAGCCACATGTAGCCTCCGGGCCAGAGCTTTGTGTGGGACTTCGGCAATTTCCAGGAGAGGTTAGCCGTAGTTAGTGTAGTCAAGGTATATTCTATGTATCCTCCTTCTTGAGTATTCTAGCTACACCTATCCTGGTCGTAGTTTCCGGTTAGGCTTTGGAGGCCTAAGTTGAACCAGAGCTGAAGGAGAGCAAGTTTAAGTTGTAGTCAAGGTTGTTCAGTGGATGTTCGGCGTTGTTGTTAAATTAAGTTACCGTACTAATAGGGTTTCCTGATGATCACCGTAAGTTATTGTAAGTTCCGTAACAGCAACACAGTCTCACGCCATGCATTTCCACGGGTACGGACAGGCAGGTCTAAGGGCAGAGGATGTGCGATTGAGGACTCGTGACGCTCCGGGGGCGTTAACGGCTTAGGATGCTTTATGCGTTTTCGCGCTTACTGTATGCTCCCTAGCCCTAGGAACACCTTCCTTTAAGGGATTCTTGGAGGTGTTATTGAATTATAAACCACGAGCCATCACACACGTCCAGAAGCTGAGAACCACAACCCTCAGGCACCTTATTATGGTTTGCGGCTTTTTTCAGATGGGATCCCCCCTTCTCGTGGAGGCAGGGATACATACCATCGGCTTGTTTAAGAGCTTCCTTCCGGCCCTGGCCAGAAAAATCTAGCTTAGAGAAACTAAGACCAGGGGCCCATTTCGTAGTTTCCTGAATTCTGGCGATCCCAATATAGACCCCAACATATTACAATCCTGATTACAGGGAGCCCCAACATGTTATCCCTAATTTGAGACAAAGGTTTTTTGACGTTCGGGTTTAGGGTTATTAGGGCTTGATTCATCGGATTCCCTCATCGTTCTAGGGTTCAGGTTTTGGTGAGCAACGGGATTACCAGAACGCAGAATCAAATGGAACATGAAAAGAAAGCGAGGGTCATATAGGGATGAATCCCCTATCTCCCAATCATGAACCCTTCCGCCTGCCGAATGATAAATGTTGCCAATGTAGTAGCAGCATATACTTCAAGGGAAGATTCATTACTGCGAGGGCGGGGGCCTTGCTCTTGAGGAGGAAAGGATTATTTTCATGGTGCAGGCCATATGCTAGAATGTAACTTTGACTCTTTGAATTGCAGCATAGGTGAAACGCTGCCCCGAGAAGAGAGACCAAGAAACAAAAGCAGCAAGCACGATGCAGCCCTAAGGGTCCAAGGACTCAAATATGAAGGCTTTAAGTCCCAAATACCACTCAGATTCTAGTATTTGGGCCCTAAACCCACAGTGTTTGAGTCCTTGGACCCTTTCAGGCAGCCTAATCAATTGGAGTCCATTTTCTGCGATTTCCAGGCCAGAAACCAGAGCAGTGAGCCAAGGTCAAAGGCCCCAAAGACTTCCTCTACTCCCCTCCCTTTAGTATTCAACCCTCCTTCCCACCCCCCTCATATGCACTACTCCTTAAATCATAAAGTATACCACATAACCTGAGTATTCAATATTAGGGGGGGGGTGGAAGGGTTTGGTATTAGGGGAGGGGATTATGAATTAGAACACGGAGCCATAATCAACACCTGTAACAATCTGGACAAAGCCCTATACCCGTAATCGCCCCAACCCCAGCCAACAAACCGCCGATTTGTAGAGGCCGAGCCCGAACTCGCAGTGGGCAACCCCGCACCCCTCCAAGCTTTAGGTAAATTACCCTGAGGAAGGCCTGAAGGCGCATGCCCAGGGATCCAAGTATACAAACAATGCCTATGTTGGGCCCTAGAGTCTGTAGATATGACCTACATTGGGCCATTTGGACCCCTAGGGTATATGGAACCTCCTGGAGGACTTCCTGGGACAATCCATAGGTTACCTCTATGGTGGTCCCCTATATAGTCCCCTATATAACCCCCCTTAAAAAGTTTAGATTATGGCTCATATGAGTAGTCTGGGGGTACTATGGTACCCATTATAGAGTAAGATTCTATCCTCCTTTTGGGGTATAGTACTTTATATAAGGAATGTAATCTTATTAGGTTCAACCACCAAAAAACGCCACTCATAATGGTCCCTCCTCGAGGATTCCCCAAAAAGTCCTCAGGCTCGGGACCCTGATGCCGAGCCGCCTCGGAGTCATACGGAGCAAGAGGCTTTGCTCATGAACCTCGGTCTGGTCAAACTCTGGGTTGCTGTTAAGGAATTTAAATTAAGTTACCATAATGAGTATATATTATATATAGTGATTAATAGGGTTTCCCCAATTTAGGACAGCAGCCCAGTCAAAAGATGTGTGGGGTTGACTTCAGTTCATGCTGCTGAAGATTTTGGCGCCAGCTTAAGGCACCTAAGACAACCCTGAGGGCTGACCATCACAGTCTCCTCCAACAGACAGGACTCAGGATTTGGGACTTTGGTTGTTGGTCTAAGGTGACGCGGCCAAAGTTGAAGAGAGAGTGGCCATGGGTGTGCGATGCATGCCCTCAACACTCAGTCCTCCCCGGGCCCCCAAAAGAAGGATTATTCAGGCCCCGAGAACGCACCCATGAGGAGTATATGTAGATCTTCACAGGCCGTCATCGTATCTTATTAGTTTGTTGGATCGCCTATGGTAGTTGACAAAAATCCAGTCATGAGTCGCTGTTGTTCATTTCGTTCGTGAAGTGGCCGTGTATGGTTTTCACTAACATGTTCGCTACTACCACTGCACATTGAATACAAATATTGTTGTTGTTGCTACTATAACCAGTGCTTTTATGATGGCTACTATTAGTATCCTGGTTTTGAGGAAGTAGATGACCAGCACAAAAGGGCTCGGCGTGATCCATGTCGCACCGGTTGTTTTTGGAGTTTTCTTGGTGCTTTTGCAGGCTTCCTGTTTGGACAAAGGTTTTTATAGCACGCGTAGACCTCCCAAATACGCAGAACAGTAGCTTATACACCCAGTATATCGGGGTTAAGTGCAGCAATCTTGGGTATTTGGGGACATACCTCGAATATGGCCAGGGCCCATTTCGCTCCAGCTTTCTGCTTCAGCATGTGCCCATTCACAGATTCAGTATACGTATTGAATCCAAGGATATTCAATGTATGAAGCGGGGTTTTTGGGTTTGGGGTTAGGGAGCAGTATAGGTCCTTTTTGTGAATGTAGGCCGCGAAAATTGTACCACATTCGCTCCTCTGGGGCGCCCGCAATTTTCTAGGGTTCCCTAGGCCTTCCAAATACCTACAGTAGTAGTCTGCGTACATACATACATACACATACATACACAGACACACACACACACATATACATACACGTACGCACACACACACACATACATACACGTACGCACACACATATACACATACATACACATACATGCATACACATGCATGCACATAGAATATACATACATACATACATACATACGTACGTACGTACGTACGTACGTACATACGTACATACGTACATACGTACATACGTACATACGTACATACGTACATACATACATACATACATACATACATACATACTGCTGGGGTTGAAGGCCATCAATGTGGTGGTTGGGAGGTAGGGAGCACGTTTTAGGCTAGCTTGGATGGAAACAAGGCTCATGACGAACAAGGCTCATAGCGAAGGTGGCAACATCAGGATCTGAAGAACCAGCGCTCCATGGCACCCACGCTCCCTCAAACTAACATGGGCGCCCAAGACCATACAATACCAATGTCCTTCGAAAAAGGGGTCCACATCAGCTTTCAGTTTGTTTGAGGGGTAACATCGGCAATATCCGTTGCTTTTCGCCCTTGCCCTTGAATACCACGGCAGGACTAAATGGCCAGTCCTCAATCTACAATTACCCCTCGAGCCCTGGGACTTCGCAAGTCCTTCACCCCTCAGCATCCGAACGCTTGGATTCGTAGCCCCCTGATCAGCCTGAAGCAGAATACCTTTAAGAGCCTATAAGCAACCCGTTGAGCACTTACTTTAGCCCGAAACAAAAACAGCAACCAGGGTTGCGGAACCCCGCTCCTTGCTGACTATAGTCCCTTTTAAGTAGATAGACTATGGCTTTGGGTATATTATTCTAACATCCCCATATGCCCATATTCTATCTACTTAAAGGGAACTATAAGTAGTTCAGGAACATCCAAGAAGAGATGAGGCTGAGATGCTCGGCTACCCACATCCGCTTTGTTTCTGCAAGGGTCCCAAAAACGGATCTGATGTTTTTGGAAAGCCGAACCCCAAGCAGCCCATCTGAACGCACTGTATTCAATTCATTGTCCGCTTTCTTTCTCTATGAAGGTACCTCACGAAGGTCTGCATTTAGATCGTTTTTACCCCGGCATGCATCTACAAAACCATATATGTGTCCCTACATGACCCCTTCAAAGCGCTCCCTGATTTTGGAAAACCCGCATGTACATGGGAAAGTTACCATACCGAGCAGAGTGATTACGGCTGCCCCTAATGGTAAGTATTCTCTGTGTATATAGGTATATTTAGAGACGAGGGATTTCCCAGTCGGGGCGTCGCCAGAATAAAGATTCTAGCATTGCTGTCGATATAGTATTGGCGTTAGTACATATGGAATTTACCCATATGGTGCACCACCATTGGAGTTCGGAATACTTGATGTTATTGGGGTGGAAGGTTTTAGGAGCTTGGGGGCGGTGGATTGTTTACCGCTCTGGGGGACCTGGCTGCATAGCCCCGCCAAGCCACTGAAGACTAGATCCCCACAGTCTCACACCGTCAATGCTTCTAAGCCCCGTAGATTGTAAAGGCACCGGAGAGCTAGCTTTGGACATTGAAAATTGGAAGCTTATTCTCAGGGTCTACACACCAATTTAGCACCTAAAACCGAGGCTTCTGCGGGAACCTTGCAATCGTAGTTCCTCGAGCCATGAAACCCCTGCATCATCTGCATGTTCGCCTTTGAGGTCCAGTCTAATAGGAGGCGTTTGGCAGCCCCAGGCATATGATAGTTATCGGGTCCTAGCATTTGGTTTTGGTATTGCCCAACTCTGAGCGCAGGATCTCATAGAAAGCCCGCAGGCCCAACAAATCTTCCTAGAGCCAATGGGCAAGAATTATATCTGCCTTGCCCAAAGGGTCCATGCAGCTATATGGCATATTTAGGGCCCAAAGGGGGTCCCTTATAACTGCTTTAGGGCAGAAGCAATATACTATCTAGCTACGTGGAAGCCTTTGGGTAAAATTCGGTCAGACTTTACAGGACTGAGCCCTGAAACGGAAACCTAGAGAGCACAACACACATCAATTCAGGAACAGACCTCAGACGGTACGATGAAATGTGATCTGAGCATGTTCGATCGTGAAAGAGAATGGGGTCCTAAAGCCCTACAAACCTGAACATACCCCAATTGAGTGCCCTAAACCCTCAACCCTAAATCCAATTTAGCGGACTCATTGTGATGCCACCACAAGGATATGGGCGGGTGCACGTCGCCACCCTCGGTCCCCTCTTCCCGGGGGCAAAGCGTGGCTGGCTGAAGCGGTCTACGGATCTCAATGGGAGCTCTTTTTTTTGATGTTTAGTACTATTACTACTATGTTGTAGGACTATCTTTGGGCAGAGCATGGATAGAGCTCTTCAAAACCGCGATGTGCTCCTTCGATAAATAAAGATGCGAGAGAAGACAGTGTAGGCTGTATTCTAGAGTTCATTGCTCCATGTCGGCTTATGACTGTGCAGTCCCTATAGTTGCCCACCTGTGTACACACATCTGTACATGTCATATCCAGGTGGGGAAGGGGAGGTGATGAATCCTTTGAGCCCAGGTTCTTTGACATCAGCTCCTATGGCGATGTTCTGGAGAAGAGCGTCGCGCGCCAGACTCGCGAGGTTCACCTCATACCGTCCTCAGGGTAGAAAGTCTTGCGGTATAAAGTCTCGGGGGTGGGGGGGTGCCTGGCTTCGGGTTGTTTGGCCGGAGGTGTAGGATTGGGGTTAGGATGGTTGTTTATGTTTGGTTCGGGTCTTTGCAAGAAATCACAAAAAGGTAATGCCGGACAAGACGGCTTTTTTCTCGCACGTGTCTGCCTTTGTTTTGTCTTCTTTACTCTTGTGCTTGCTAGCAGGAACTGGATAGCGCATGCTGTTTTGAGTTTGGGTCTGATATGAATGGCATGTCACAGCACTCTCTCATCAAATCCTGGCATGCCTTCTCAACGGTTGTGACCAGGGCTGACAGGGGATGAGTCTAGTTGTCCTTTTCTTTTAGCTGGGCCCAGCTGGATAATTCAAAGTGTGCGTGTCCGACAAAACTCTGCATCAGGGAAATGCTCCGAGCGCATGGGCGCTTATTTGACCTTGTTATGTCCCTACAGGGTCCGCGCAAGGAAGAAGCAGAAGTCGTAGGATTCTTTCCAGAAAACTCCGTGTTCACGTACTGCTGGAAGCTGAACCTAGTGTCGTTCGAGACTCTACAGTTTGGAAGTTGCATCGTCCATGACGCTTCGTCCTTTCCTGTTTACACCCCTTGTTTTGCTAGCAAAGGCAGCCGATAGGGAGTAGACATGAGTAGACACAATTACCGGGGTACAGTTTCGTCAGCCACCGTAAACCCTTAACCATAACCCTCAAGTCCCCTAACCCCGGTATAGAAGCTTCTCGCAAACTACCCCTGTAGAATCCTTAAGGGTGACTTTAAAAATGTCGTTTACATGTCCTCCTCAAATTGCTTACTTTTTGAGCAACCCTCGCATTAAGGTTTGCATCCGCGCGGTTGTGGCACAGTAGAGCCCCCAAACCCCCTTTGTCATATCGAGCTCTTGAGATGATAGGAACAAAAAGAAACAGCAAGCGCTCTAAGCAAAAAGCATTGATAATCCGAGGCGATTCCTTTTGTGAGCAGATTGCTGCTGCCGCAATAGGATGTATAATCTTCGGGGTCGTCGGGGTGCGGCGGTACGCTTCTGGCGTGTTTGAAATCTCAAAGGATGACGCGTTCAGCAAATTTCTGGTGGTTTGGAGATGTTCATTCCTAAGCTTCAGCCACTTCCGTACTTAGCCCAAATCATTATTGAAAGCCCTGAATCCTGATTCTTCATCTCAACACCCATTCTCCTGAGCCCTAAATCTCAACAGAGCAGAGCCTGGGCTAGTTTCTACCCAACACTCTCAACCCGAAGCCGTAGCGATTGAGGGAAGAAAGCTTGCTCGTAGCGAATGGAATGGACCCCTATGTAATCCTGAAAGGACAGTGGTTTCAGTTGCCATTTGTCCTTTTCATGTTTTCATTCATTCCTACTAGCAACCGGCAAGAACGTAGGCGATCGCAGTGGCAGCGCGCGTCCACTACGAAGGCTACACGTCCATGGAGGCAGGCGTGCAACCTTTCCAATGCGTACCTCTACTCCTTTAACTGCTTTGTTGGGGTTTATATAGTTTGCACCGGGGCTTAGGGTTTACAGCGCTTGTAATGCTTACAATGCTACTGATACATTGGATACGGCTTGGGGCATGTCTCTCCGGGGATCGATCTCTGTAGAGCAAGCAGAGGCAAACGCTCTCAACGGCATAGCCCCCAAGAACCATGCTTGGCACCAAAAGAGCTGAAGGGGGGGAGGAAAAAACAAGAAGCTACCTCTTTGGGGGAATCTGTGCCAATCCATCGGAACAACCAGTTGCTGCTCTCTTTGCTATCGCTATCCAGCCAAGATGGTTGGGCTTCAGAGATTATATTCCCCCTTAAGTAGATAGAACATGGAATTGGCTAGAAGATTCCACATAAGATCTCCGTATACCCCGTGTTCCATCTACCTAAGGGTGACTATAAACATCCATGGGCCGCCCTTCGCCCTGCAGATCCCGGACGGGCCAACGGCCTCCCAGACCTCGGACTGTCCTCTGCCCAAGGGCTCCTATGTAGCTCCTTTTGGGCTCGTTATATCTATATATCTCTTTCTGTAGGGGATCATAATTTGCTACCCCAAAAGAACTACTTTGAAGGTTCTGGTGAGCAGTAAAATCCCCGCAGCATGGCCAGGCCTTCTACGACTTCGGCATTGGCCGAGAGTGGCTGAGGAAGTACTTCGTGATTGACCCTGCGACGAATGAGCTCAGTTTGGATCAGGAGCGCTATACGCGACGCAGCTGCATTTGGGGAAGTCCCAGAAAACCAGAGTCCTAGAAAACCAGGTGCATGTTGGACGGCTCCCGCTGTCAATATGGCTAAAGAGTTTGCCAGGCATGTGTTGTCCCTCTTCAGCGACAGCCCTAGATTGTAGCCGCCGCCTATTATTCGCAAAAATATTTTGGAACTTTCCCAAACCCTAAACCCTAAACCGTTGAATCTATTATCTTCGTATCAGGCACAGGGCTCAAGGTTAATAGGGATCCAAAAAGGGACCATGATTTTGACAACCACCCATATACACCACCCCCGGTATCCATGAACAAGTTGCGATGAAATTTACCATGTTCTTTTCCATGTGGATATGATTTTACATCACCATAAGCCCTACACCCTAATTAAGGAGAGTTGCAGATTGGTAGTTATCAGGTGCGCACCCCAATAGTAGACCTACAAAAACCTGATAGAACTCTATCAATCCCCTCTCCCTTAATATCAAACTCGCCCCCCCACCACCCTATTACTCCCAATATATCATAGTAACAGCAGTTGGGAGTATTTGATACTAGGGGGTGGGGGGGATTACTATTGGAAAGCGGGAAGTACCTCTGATACCAGCCTTTTATGAGCTTAAAGACTGAAGAATGCCTAGCTTGCGCACAAAGGTTTACAAACAGTACCTACTTCAGGCCTAAAACCCAAATCCCAAACCTCAAGCCAGAACACCCTAACTCCTAAACCTTAAATCCACCATAGAACCCCATTAAATGTTTAGGCATTACAGGTTAGATTTTGGGAACGGCATCTCCGAAAGGCAGTGTGAAAAGGCCCAAGTAGTTGGGTTCTTTCCCTAAGGGTCCAAGTGCCCAAATAGTAGATAATGTGGGCTGTAATTACATACCATTCAGGTGCTTGGAGCCTTGGGGTTACAGTCCCCCTTAAGTAGATAGAATATGGGGTATAAGGGGATCTTCTCATTTTACACCCAAAACTATATTCTATCTACTTGAGGGGGACTATAGGTCCCAAGTACAATTCGGGGCAGTTTCTGGCTCAACCGGACCCATAGCTTCCTTGCCAGTGAAACTGGCATTCGGAACCTTGACCATTTAGGTTTAGGTTTAGGTTTTAGGCAGTGGGCACGTGCTTGTGTGAACAGGCCAAGACTGGATCTTATCACATCTATTCCTTAAAGCTTTGCCGGCAGACTCTTGAGTTTCAGCGGCTCAAAATTGCTTTATACAACCTGTACAAGGCAAGTCAAAATCTCCTCGTAATCCCGAGATGTCCCTGAGATTTTCTCAAAAGAGCCCTGCTAGAATCACTAAAGAGGGACCCACATAATCCCCTAAACCCCGAAACCCTACACTCCTTAGCTTACCTGTTTTGAGAAATCCTCACTTCTTGTAGAGCATCTACCGGAAGGTTTAGGGCTTAGGGTTCCGCAGCCTGCAGGAGTCCAAATGCAAAAAGGGTTGGAACCCATACGCATCAATAATCTGTTATTGCTACCACAACCCCTGTGTGCTACTTACCACCATTGCCAGCAGTACCTACGGGCATGCATACTGTCATGCCGATGAACTTGTTGATTGTCAACTGCCCCACTTGAAGCCCATTTGGGGGGAAGACGAGGCCATGCATGAGCTTTCCATCTCATTGCCACTAAGGGTTCACTGCACATAATTCTTTGGAAGGATGTTGAAGATACGTTTAAAGATTTTTTCATGACCCGTGTAGCTAGATACGTCCATCGTTCTCATCGACTGAATTCTTAGGCCATGCGGCAGTCCAGCTGCAGCTGGCCTCAGATAATTAGATAAACCCTATAAGCCCTACGCCCTTTGGTTCATCATCCTTGCAGATCCACGCAGTGCTGTCCGAGTTGAGGGTCTGTGAAGGTACGAAGAGAGCCACCACGGAAGTTTTCATGCCTGGCTTCCGATTGCTGAATTCACCATTTCTTCAATGCTCCTCTTGCTTCTCATAACTCGTAGAGTCTGTCGAACCATCCAGAGCGAAGATTTGGAAGCAGAATGCTGAAAGCTGTCAGTTCGACAAGGCGTGGCCCACATTGGCCGCAAAAGCCGTGCCTGGAACCCGAAAAGAAATCCCAATGAGTAGCCACACCCACCTCCATTATCAAGTCTTGGGCCTCTCAATTTTCGCACCTGCAAGTAGGCTTACGTCTCAATGTTGTCGAGGTCCTGGGAACCGCCACCAAAGGAGCCAGATGCCCCAGATCCACGCATCTCTGCAGTTTTCAGACAGAAGTTTGCTTGCCTTTGCGGGTCGTGAGTACAAAGCTTCCTTGTCGGCCAATTTTGCTCAGTAGTGCTCGCGCAGCACTGGTGTATTTGACACGCATTCCGTGATTGGGACCACTTGAAATATTCGTTTGGCGAGCATGCAGCGAGAAATGTCACTGCGCGTTTGTTGCTGTGCATGTCGTCCTGCGCGGGCACTGGGCAGGGCCTGAGCGCATAGCAACAAGCAGGCAGACCGTTCCGCCCACGGGTTCTCTGTTGTGCTCAAGGGGAGAGTGTGTGGCAGGGCCAAGAACTGGAAGCCGGACCACCTGGCTGGTAAGTTTTCCTTTTGAGATTGGTATTTGGTAGTTTGCAGAGCAAACAGCCAGAATGTCAAGGTCAATCGCATGCACAGCAACACGACGGGTACATACGACGGGTATATACTTGACGATTTAAATGATTAACATGCGCGTGCACTGAACATGAGGCATCTACACAAAGCTCGATGCGCCGCGAGGCTACTTCCGCAAGGGCAACTTGGCTGGCGTTTAGGGATTGCAGATGAGAAGAGGCAGCTTCTTTGAGTTACCTTTCAAGGACATGCATTGAGCATGCTTGTACATCTCTGCTCGATAATGGCAATGTCAATCACCCCTTCCCTGAATTCCTTCCATGGTCGTCTTTCGGGGATCAGACTGTGGGGTGCGATGCGGGAACCAGCCGTCGAACAGAGTTTACACTGGGCATGCTAGTGCAAAAAGGTCAGGGAGTTAGAGCCAAGGGTAGGTTCTGGACTTGGTAGGTATGTACGCCTTTCTTTGTGCCTCAGGCACGACATGAACGGTGAGGCCCTCTACCCTCACCCAACACTGTCATATGCACGAGATGAAGGGTAGGGCTTGTAAGGAACCAACACCGCAAACGATCCAACAGTAAGGTGCGTGTGTCTTGGATCGCAGGGTCTCCTAATGCTGGGGTTCTCAGCGTGGAGGTTCACAGTTCACGGGCAGGTGAGTAAGGAAACCCTCGACCCTAAACCCTTACAACTTACAACTGTGCAAGCTGACCTAGTCCTTCTTGGAATTGCCAAGCGCGGAAGATAGGTCCCCCAACGATGCTCAGATCTTCCTCTGCCCAAAGGCCTGAAGGGCCTGAAGAACTTCCTACTTGGGGTCCCAGACCCTGAACCCCAAACCCTAAACCTTCAACCCGAAACCCTGAACCCCAGTGCCGTCGAGCAGGGCGAACGCGCCGTTCAAGATTGGAGGCATCCAGACAGGGCACCATCTGAAGAAAACTGGAGGCCTCGAGCAACCCCCAAACTCAAGTCTAGTCTTGACAATTCCACCTTGCAAGCCTTGCACCCATCTTGTCCGGACGCCTGGAAGGCTGAAGCTAAAAGCGCGAGCAACCTGGAGCCAGACCCAACCCAAACCCTGCACCCACTTGCCGTAGACAGGTCCATTTGTTCAAGATTGGAGGCATCCAGTCAGGGCACCATCTGGAAGAGGACTAGAGGCCTCGAGCCACCCCCAAACCGAACGGGTGCAAAGAACAAATAAGAAAACAGGAGCGCGATCAGAGTTCGAGAGAACCCAAAACCCGTAAAGGTTGAGGCAAGGGTGGAGCGCCAGCAGGGGTGGGCTCCTGCAGGTCAGGGTGCGCGCCTGGGTGCTTCCAGCACCAGCGCACCCCCTCACTGAGACACCTTTAACCTCAGACCATAAACCCTTAACCCCAGACCCTCCTATGAAGCCTATGAGTGGTTCCATACCCGAAGCCCTTAAACCCCAACCCTGGGCCTTAACCCCAAACCCTAAACCCTTGACCCCAAACATGAAGCCTATGAGTGGTTTCTACTCCGGGCTTTGTGTGGATCCCCAGGGTAGGATCCCTTTCCTCGGCTGTTTGGCAAAACCATGCTTTGGGGTTTGGGGATTAGGTTTAGAGTAGGGATTAGGGGGATCAGGGTTTAGGGATGAGGGTTGAGATTAGGGCCGATTAGGGATTAAGGTTTAGGGAGTAGGGTTTAGATTAGGGATTAAGGGTTAGGGAGTAGGGTTCAGATTCAGGTTTTGGGGTTAGGGTTTAGGGTTGAAGAAGGTTTAGGTAGGTGAAAAGGATCAGCCCTACATTGTGTGACAAGTGCGACCTTGAATTGGCTACCTGATGGCTTTGCCCTATTGCCAAATCTTTGTTTCCTAAGAAGCTAGACCCCGCGTTACGACCCTAAATCCTAATTCCCTGAACCCCTACATTCCCAAACGTCTGTAGCCCTAAGCCCACCTGCCCCTAAACCTCTATAGCCCCTGTAATGAATTGGTGCGCCGAGGCAATGGCAAGTATGCGAAGATGAAGTACGGCCACCATGCTGGTGGCATCCTTTTCTAGCTACTGGATGCTGGCCCCCGAAGGTTCTTAGCGCTTATGCCCCAGCTCCAGGTCTTCACCAGTGTTTTGCAGTTCCATTATTGTTAAACCGTTTTGAAGGTCCCATATATGACCGGTAGATACTTTGTTATAGGGCAGGGGCAGCATCCAATGTAGCAGGCAAGACTCCTAAACAGGGAGTCAGGCTTCGCCAGCCAGCGTGCCAGCCCACGTGAGAAAACAATGGTGTGCTCAAGGGAACTTGTTGGATTGTTCCCGGAGGGCCCAGAAAATGAGGGGTTCATTTAAGGTCAACATGTAGGGGCCTTTGAAACCAGAAGTTTGCATGGTCCGCATCATGCTCGCCTGGCCTTGCCTGGTCCCATTTCCTAAAAGAAACATGCCCATTTCACATATAATGTTGGAGAGTTTTGAGCCCGGCCCCTCGCCCCACTGAGCCAAAGAACCAAGGAACACCTAGACGTGTGGTTGCTCGCTTTGCCGCCTTGAGCTAAGCAACTCGCAACATGCACGGGGTCTAAACACTTGGCCACCCCTAAACCCCAACATCCCGGCCCTGTACCTAGAAACTAAAATAATTGAGCTCGGTAAAAACCAGGCCCCAAACCAATCCAAAACGTTGAAGCCCATATCTCTAACCGTCAGGTGTCGACTCAGGGACCTGCAGCTGACCCCGACCAGGTTGACAAGCTCGACGATGAGGCGCGACAGTCTCTAGCTTACTGTAGGGCTCTATACTTCTCATTGTTTGGGGTACTAGGCTTTTGGGTTAGGGCGTTGTTTTGCGTTTTGGCTGTCCCTAATAAGCCCCTTAACTCTCAAAGCTGCAATAGCCACGAGGTGACAGACATCATGGAGAAATGGCGTAAGACGTTCATTGAGCGCAACCGTCAGCGGGGGAACAGCTGCTGCCTCAACCCTTCACTGCTAATCTTTCAAAGGTAGGGATTATAGAGTATATATTGGGGTATATATTAGGGTTATATTGGGGTTAGATTAAGGTAACATGGGGGTTATATTGGGGTTATTTTCTATACAGTGTTTCCTGGGTTCAATCAAGGTTCGGGCAATTTGGGGTCTAGGGTTAGGTGTTGAGCGTGTAGGGGCTTGCTGGCTCTAATATAGCACCTCTGCTGGCAACAAAAATAGAAGTGGTTCCATGTGGAAGTGGATGCTTGAGGCCGTTTAGTGCGTGTCTTCTCTGCGGGTGTCTGATGGGACCCAGTTTTGATATATGAGCCATAGTCTAAAACCCCCGGTGCCCCCCTTGATAGCCCCTACAATAAAGCCCTAGACAACCCCTTGAAGGAGTTTAGACCCTAAACCCCAAATACAGGAGATTATAGAATCCCTTATATTATATAATCCCCTTTGACCTTAGACCCTCAACCCTGAATACAGGCGATGATAAAATCCCTTATATAACCCCTTTAGATTAGACTATAGCTAATATATCCCTCCACCCAGTAATGGTGACCATAAGGGATATAGGGTCCTCTTACATTCCTACTATTATAGGGTGGGGGGTCCACCCAATATATGGTTATGGTGCGCCGCCACATGCTTGGTATCGTTGAGGAACAAGGGTCTGTCAGGCCACACCTTCCAGCTGTTTTAGAGTTTAGGCGTTTACGGGTTTAGGGTTTAGGGTCAAAAGGGTGCCAAGAACAGGTTGGATGTGAGGCAGTTGATTGTTGGATGGGTACCATGAAATTCTACATGAGAAACACGGCTGTGCTGCATCAAGTCATCTGATAACATTCGTCAAGCCAAGTTTATGCAACACCTACACAAAGCGCGTTTGTGGCCTTCTATAGCGATCACCGCTAGAACCATGAGGCCAGGAACGCTTGAAAGCTACGGCCAACGCCTGGGCGTTAGATAAACTTAACTCTTCAGCCGAGTCCTTCAACGCAGCAGCCATGAATCCCAATCTTGAAGCCATCCTGCACATGTGGCTGCAAAGTGGTCACTTCAATCCGGAGAATCCACGATAACCGAATTCTATCTGCTTAGTGGCACGGCTTCCTGACCTAGAGGGTCCAATTACTCAAATGTTGGGGCTTCTGATACCCAAAACCATTCAGATGATATGATATAGTATTCGGGGCCGAAAACCCCAATATTTGGATGTCTGGACCCCTCGTGTAAACCATGAGCTTTACAGAGTTGAGTTGGATAAATGCGCATAGGTTTGCATTCTTTGGATACTTCAGTGCTGAAATCCTGAAGCTGAGAGAAGCAGAACAAGACCGGAACTGTTCCCCAATATATTGAACATTGAATGCCGCCTTTCAGTGGTCGGCTTGAACATGTTGTCTTTGCGTTTTGATTTTAGTCTCCCAATATAACAAAATAAAGCTAATAGGGCTGCATTAGTGCTCTGGTGATGATGCAAGTTAAGCTTGCCGAAAGACCAGGCAAGTCAACAGAGAGAGTCTCACCGGCCGGGTAGGATAACAAGGATGCAGCTATCTGAAGGGGCCAAGGAGATCTTGCAAAACAAAAAAACACAAGTTCCACGAAGAGCTTTGTGGGAAAAGGATGGACGTTTCTTGAAATGATGACCCTTTACAGTTCTGAGTTATGGCCTCGGGGGAACGCATAGTTCTTATTTAGAGTTCTGCCCTATCCTTAGGTACCCGGGGTCCCTGTGCCCCGGTTTTGAGAAAGTCCGATGTGGTAGTTTCCCAAAAATAGGCGGAGCCCAATAGAGACCCCAATAAGTTATAATCTTCATTATGGGAACCCCCCCCAAAAGGAACCCCTAATTCGGGGAAGCCCCCATATCTAAAAGTCATGGTGCAAGGCCTCTAATGCGGCCTGCTAACTGAGCCTCGTGCTACGCAAAGATTCTAGTGGACGTCGGTTCAAGCTACATTAATAGGGGAGTTCGATAGGGTTTTTACTGGGATAACGGCAACGGAAATGGAAGGATTATAGTCCTTATATATATATATGTATATACATATACATGTATAAGGGGTTTTGTAGAGACCATGAGGTGCCAAGGTATGGGCGCTTGCCCCAAATGCTTGTAACAAGAGCATGCATCCTGCAACCGCATTAACACGGCACTTGGGACTATTTTCTACGTACTTGGGAGGAGTAGTAAAAAGCATAACAATAGTCATAGTGGCATTAGCCAACGGCCCCTTTGATCATCCTAAGTCGCTGCAAAATTAGGCCTGAGACGGCAGCAGCCGCCAGAAGTCCATGCTGTCCCGCCGGTGCCGGGACCCAGCCTCCTTCAAACAAAGCTGGCAGCGTCTTAGCATAGCTCCCATGCCTGATCTTTTGGTTGCAACGCCATTATTTGTTTCCCCTTTTGCGAGCGGAGAGTCTGCATAAGACATGAGGGGTGTTTCATGGTGTCATACAATACTCTTCTATAGGCTTTCAATTCAGACATTTTCCTTCATGTTTGAATGCGTACACAGGTTGCGCAAAGTGTTCTGTACATCGGGACTTACGGTACTGTGTGTGGGTGTGTGCGTGTATTTGTTCATGTTATGGGTCAGGCCTGGGCCCGATGCTTAGCAAGATCAGGTCACAGCAGCCTTACCCTAACAGGCACTTGCGCACTGACCTGCCCGTATGGGAAACCCTTCTGGCCCCAAGTATCTGGGTTGCTGTCAAAGACCTTAATTCAAGTTACTATATTGGGGAAACCACATTAGTTACTATATATATACATATGCACCCATTACGGTAACTTATTTTAAGTTTCTTAACACCAACCTAGGTATACGCGGGTACTTTCGCTCCTTGGGCTGCTTCCTACTCACATCCATGATTCCGTTTTCGAGGCCCAAGCACCAACCGCGGCACCAGCAGCACCTCCGGCACCTCCGGTGATGCTACTTGGCATTTTGCCAGGGATCCAAATAGCCCAATTAACGTAGGTTATAATTTCAGACATTAGGGCCCAATGAGGGTATCCTTTGTGTACTTGTGATCCCAGGGGCTTAGGCTGGAAAATGAAATGGAAACTACAGGGATTGTGGGGTTTATATAGGGGATATATTGGAGATATATTGGCATAGTGTAAAATGAAATGGAAACTACTGGAAAATGAAATGGAAACTACAGGGATTATAGGGTTTATATAGGGGATATATTGGAGATATATTGGCATAGTGTAAAATGAAATGGAAACTACTATACTTAATTATATACTGCCCCATCTTGGGTCCTTTTTCCTTATCTGCGGCGCGTGAGTTGGGCAGCCAAGGTCAAGAACTAACCAGTGGTTACAAGGCATTGTTTGTTCCGGCTTAGGGTTTAGGGTTTAGGGTTTAGGGGGTTGGGGTTAGGGTTTAGGGTTTAGGGTTTGGGGATTAGGGTTACAAGGTATTGTTAGTTCCGCCATTGATCAGATGATTCCTCCAAGAACTTGAGCCTGGGGATCAGAAGGCAAAAGACCGCCTTTACTTGAACCACCGTAGGCCTGCCATGCCTGGCATGTTTAATGGATAAGGGGGTTTCCCAAAATTAGGGGTACCCTTTAGGTCCCAATAACAAGGATTATAGTATTTTTTGGGGTCTATATTGGGGTCCCCTTATTAAGGGAAACTACCAGAAATACTTCAGCTGAGCATAGAGGGAGCTTGCAGATGTTTTGGCTGGGGCCCCCCGCCCTATAATGGTGACCATCAGGGATCGTGGCACCTATGAGTTGCGATTATACCGCTAGTACTGGGTGCGGGCCTGAGCCAAATGATGTTGCAACTGCCCAGGTGCCAAGAAGATTTTCTGAAGCTGCTTGCTGAGGGTCCTTCCTCTACAAAACCCCCAGCCCTTTCTGCCTAACAGCCCTAAACTTTTCCTGTGCGAAGCAGGCCTACAGTCTCTCCCAGATTACCCCCTCTCAGCTTCCGTGGTAGTTTGGGGAAGAGTATAGTTTCCCTTAAGTAGATAGACAATGGCTTCGGGTATATTACAATAAGATCCCCATATTCTATCTACTTCATGGGACTATAACCCTTACATACCAGAGCTACCCAAGGCTGGAGGCGGACATGGTAGCCCGTGGTGCAGTGAAGAAGGCCTGCACGTACAGGGACTGCCCAGCAGAGATAGGGGTGAGGTGTGCATGTACGATCTGCACTTTGTCCTTCATATCTGCGGGTTACAATTTCCAGTGTATCGATTGGGCCCAGGTAGGGTTGAGGGTGCAGGCTGTAGGGTTAATTGTTGCTTGCTTCTCGACTTATCCGTCTCTGTTCCAAGAGGCAGAGTCGGAGTTGAGATGTGCAGTCATGTTTGAGGTTCAGGGACCAGGATTTCGTGTTCAGATGTGTGGCAGCCGCCGTCAGAATCCGAACAGCATCAGGAGGAGAAACGGGAGAAATGACAGGAATGCATCACTGACTCGAGGCCTCGTTATTCTGCACTTCCGCCTTGTCTACCTTCACGCTCGCTCTTGTTGCTTCTCGTTTCTTAAGTACTTCAATGCCCCAAACTCTTTTTGAACTTTGCCGATGGCTGCCCCAATCTTGTGGCCACCCTGTAAGATTTTGCATCCCACAAGCCCATGTTATGCCCTATACCCTATAAGACTCACAATATAGTCTACCTCCATAGGGCCCTCCAAAGTTTCGGAAGACTGTCCCCTTGAAAAGTTCCACATGCACCTGGCAGGCCTTCAGGTCTCGCTCCCTTGTCTATACCTTCCCTTGCAGCTACTTCCAGAACAACAATAGACATTTCCATCTTAGGCTATTCCCCCAATTTCAGTAGGAGGCTTCCCCAAGCAAAAATCCTGCGTTTCTGTAGGTGTGCGAGTGCAGATTGCTTGGCGCATGCTTGAGGGCCCCATGGCATCTACAAAGCTTGTAACCTCCGTCACAGAGGATGATGGACGGAAGAGTTTGCAGTTCACCCAGAAACCAATTCCCCAAGCCAGTCAGCTTTGGCAAATGCATGCCCAAAGGCTTCCCTGACAGAGGCATCTTGCAAACGGGCAGATAATTTCATGGCGACGCCAACCCGGCGTCAAGTAAGCGACCCTTGCCAAGCAGTCTTCATTGTAGCGCTCCTCCACCTGTTCCTAGCGTCACTTGGATGAGTTGGAGAGGGAGGAGGCTCAGGAGGAAGAGTAGGAGGAGGTTGTCCCCAGTAAGTGATGCAGCAAATAGGATTCCTGGTACAGGTCCAGAGGCATAAGCCGCCCCAGACCTCCACCTCAGGCCTACCAACCCAACGGACAGACCCTGCTGAAGTTCCAGCTCATTTTGCAAAAAAGGTGGAAGCCCCTCCAAACCCAACGACTCCGTGGGGCAGCATCAAGCGGGATGAGGCAGCTACAGGGCTCGCCTTAGCGGGCGGGGATTTTTACATGACGGTCCGCGTTTTCGCCTCCAATACAATGCAGTCATGGGTAACGCTCACTTCACACAAGACCCCGATAGATTTGAGAAGCTACAAGTTGTTGGTTACTTGCCTTGTCAATGCAATAAGAGGCCAGTGCATCGATTGATTTTGCATTCGGGATATTCAAACTTCTTTGCACGGTTTTGTGCCTCTGCTTTTCCTTGAAAGAAGGAGATGTTTGGGCTCTGAGAAACACCTGACTGATGCAACTTTGTGTTGTTGTGCTTCGGCAGTTCCTGCGTTGAGTTCATTATTGCTTCATCGTTTCACGGCTCCGAAGCCCCGCACAGCCCGAGCTAAAAGAACCCTAAACCCCCAAACCCATCCCGAACAAAGGCTTGACATGGTTACTGTGTCTGCTCGGCCGGTTACTTGTGAGTTTTTCTGAATAGGGGGCCCCGGGAACTCCAGGGATAGAGACTGTAAGAAGATCTAGGATTTGGCAGTCTTCAAACAACATGATGTAAGGCGAAACACGGATTGCTTGGGGTTCGGGAGGTCGCCTGGAGACCAGCGCCCCGTAAAAAAAAAAGTCTTAGCTCTCACCACCATGAAGGACCGCGGCTCTCGAGATATATCGGCTGTATCGACTTGAGGGTTCTAGGTTTTAGGTTTTATAACAGCGTTCTAGGCTTATGGTCTTTGTTCAGGGACCTGCAATCATATCAATCGCCTCGGGTTGCGGTTCTTGACGTTTGAGTTTCCAAGACTGCAGCAGTAGCTGCGCTAAATCAGAAGAACCAATGTTTGAAGCGACCCCGACCTAGCCAGAATGCTTCCCTCCTCTTTGACCACCTGTCGTTAAGGTTGTTTTCTGGTGCTACACCACACCATCTCGTAATTAGAACAAGGCCTGTGTATGTGCATACTTATACGGCCACACAACATAGCTATGGAAGGATCATCAGGGGATCATGTTGTAAAGCACTCAGTCCTCTACGGCAGGTGTTAATCGGCATGGTGACTGGCAAAAAATGGGTGGGGGCAGGACAGAACTAGTAGGTTTCACTGTGAGCCCTCTAGATGGATCATGCCACAGATGCAGCATTGCGGACCACCTTTCTATACAGTGGTTTAGGGTCCAGGATTTAGGGTGTAGGGTTTAGGATTTAGGTCTATAGAGCTTCCCTCCGAACCAGGCCTCATTCAGCCTTTTCCAAGCGGGAACGCACGGTGGGGTTGTAAAAGGGCGTGGTTGGGACAAGGGTCCAGGTACCCAAAGGTTAGGCTTTAGGGTTTAAACCCCGCTGTTTAGGTACTTGGACCCTTAAAGATTTCATCCTTAGCTTACTTACAATTAGAACTTCTACCCGAACATTCAAGCCTTGGGCTTAAATGCTTCTAACCCCTAAGCCCCCAAACCCCTTAACCCTGAACCCCTAAAACCTAAAAGGTAAAAATGACTGTCGAGACGCCAGACTTCCAGGGCTCCACGTCGCAGACCCAGCAGTTTATAGCAGTTTAGGGTTATTGGAATCCAACTAGTTTAGGGCTTAGGCTAGTGTGAGCATAGGCTTGCTGGTTGTCGGTAGGGAAGGAAGGGAGCGGAAAAGAAAATGGACACACATGGACAATACTAACCCTAAGCCCTAAACCCTTAAACGACTGAGCCAATGGGGAGTATACAAGGGCTGCAAAAGCGATCCATCCCTCCATTTTCTACTAGCGACAAGTGGGTTCAGGTCCAAAAAACCAAATATCAGGGCCTGAAGTCTCTGGTGTTCGGCACCTAAGACACCGGCTTAAGGATATTACTGGGCTGCTTTTAAGGAACTTGAATTAAGTTACCATGATATGGGTATGTAGTGAATTAGGTTTACTTATCCAAGTAGCATAAAACATCTTTAGCAGCGGCCCAGATTAGGGCCTAGAGGGTGAGGGCAGAAGTTTGTGATGAGCGTCTAGGAAAGTAGGATGGCACACCCCTGTCCCACATGTAATGGATCTTCTCTAGAGAATTTAAGAACCCGTGGCCCGTACAGAGCCAAGTTGGGTGTTTCTAGGATGTTGGGATATCTTTGAGGCTTAGTAGCTGGGTAAGTAACCTTTTACCTTTTGGGGTATATATAGTCCTATTACAATGCAAAGGTTCACCTTTTTGGGGGCCTTGGAACTCAGCAACTAGGGAGGGCATGAAGCCCCAAACCTGGTGAACAGATTGTGTAAGAAGGGGGTTAGGCACGGGTGAAGGGACCCCAGGCAGTGTGGCAGACAAGCTCCGAGAGTGCATTTTCTCTTGAGCCACTTCCATTACTATTACCGCTACTGTTACGATTATTATTCCTATTGCTATCACTATTTTGCTACTATTATATGTTTGGCGGTGGGATGGAGCCGCCCTTGCTACTACTTCTTGATCCTATTCTGCTTTCTCTCTAGAAGGATCTAGGCCACGAGCCTGTAGTGGGCGGGATTCCCCCGATGCCAGGATCCTTCTTCATCAGGGTATTGGTCTAAATTCCCTATAATACGGGGTCCTATATTTGGGTTCCCAGTATAATACGGGGCCCTATATAAATTTCCCCCATTTTGGGAACAGTAATTTAGGGAAACTACCATCCCTAAACCCTAAACCCTAATTTAGGGAAACTACCATCAACAGCCTCAAGGCGGAACTACACTGCCCTCCTCAAGCATCGAGCTCCAAGTTGGCTACCATTTTGGGGTTTTGGGGCCCTTTGGGGTAATATTAAGGGTATATAGGGGTAATATTAGGGGTATATAGGGGTAATATTAGGGTTATATAGGGGTAATATTAGGGTTATAAAGGGGTTATGTGGGGATAATGGAAAAGAAAACGGAAACTACTATATCAAGTCTTGGTTTTCAATTGGTCCTCGTTTTTGCAGGCCTTGGCGCGGGGTTCCATTGGGCTAATGGATCCCTGGGATGGAATGTCAGCAGCGTCAGCGCAAACCCGCAGCAAGAAGCTTTGCATCTTCAGGGGAGCCGAAGATGTTCGTGCAGCTACTATGAGCTTGCAACCCCCTTTTCCCGTGTCCCTGGTAGAGCTTCGAAACATTTGCGAATCCAGGCTAAAAGCGCCAACAGTTGAGAATTGATATCCTCCCGGACTCCCGGAGCCTAAGCCCTGAGCGTTTGGAACCTGCATACTCTGCACCCTACAGTGCCCAACGTTTTCCCAGGTTTGATGGCGCTCTTCCAGGCCGAATGCCTGAGGCCTATGGTAGACACAGAGATTTCCAAAGCGTGGGCTGGGCCAGGGGCATAAGTATCCTGGGTTTGGAGAGCTGCTTCAGAAACTTAATTGGGTTTCTTTGTTGCGGTGCTCTTCCGGCAAGTTGTTTTTCAAACCTGATCATCGTCAGCCTTGCTGGAGGTGCCTACTTTTATAACATATGCTCATACAGGGGTCATTTATCTTCCTCGTTGGTCGCCTCCGCTTTGCTTAGTTATCGGGATGACCTGTTAATTATTCGGTGGTAAACAGGAAACGGAATCAATTTGGTCAGGGGAGGGGGATCGGACTGAAAGGGGAGGGCCCTCAATCGGCATTGGGTGCCAGCCTGTGGCAGGAACGTATTGTCCTCCTGAAGTAGGTTCTAAGTAGATAGAATATGGCTTTGGGTATGTTAAAATAAGATCCCCATATACTCCATATTCTATCTACTTAAGGGGGGCTGTAGTTGAGCTGTGTTGAGCTTCGGCAGGGAAAAGCTGAGTCCGAACCTTGAAAGTGGCAGCTTCCCTACATAGGGGGACCTCAATACAGCCCCCCAGATGCTATGATCCTCGTTATGAGGGGACTCCTATCAGTGTACCCGTGATGTACGGAAGCTCCTCAAGGAGGCCCGAACGGTGTAACTTTGAATTATGTGATGGTGCTGCCCGTGGGGACCTTTCTAGTACTGAATAGCTGAATAGCTGAATAGCTTCTCCTACATTCACATGCGATCCAGGGGCCGCCTTTATGTTCTATGCTGGGGAGGGGGTGGTGGGAGGTGCCTAAACCCTACAACTCCATAAGCCCCGCGCAACTGACAGGCGGATGCCGGCAGCTCAAGGCCTGATCGATTTTCTAGGGCATAGGGTTTAGGGATTAGGGCTCAGGGTGTAGGGATACAACTAGTTTAGGGTTTATGGCCTCCCATCCCCTACCGCGACCCCTCTTAGTCTGGGCGTATAATGGCGTGTATATATATACATATATATCAATAATATGACAACTCTACTTATGTTTCCTAACAGCAACCCTCTTTCGTTGCGTGCAACGGAACCTAAATTGAATTATACAGCGGGGTGGTTGGCTTTGACTATTTTTAGTGGATTGCGCGCCCTCCGAAGCCAGACAGTTGCAGTTATAGTTGTAGAGCAATCCAGGTGCGGTTTTGGATGTTTTTGGTCCCAAACCCTCCCATCATTGTATACATACAAATTGTAGGATGGCAAAAATGTGGCCCCTTCTTTGTAGTATGGCCCTTAGTATGTAGTTAATGTAGCTAGGGGGTTCCCCAAAAACGGACCAACAGTGTGACATTCCCTCCCGTGTACTACGAACCTTTTTTTTGATGGGGCTTGAGGATCTCAGAGTCCGGGGGTTCAGGCTTGGGGTTTCTAATCTTCAGTGGGTCTGCGGGGCAAGCCGATTCTTAGGCTGGGAGAGCATTTGCCAAAAGGGACCATGTAGGTATTCAAGTACAGTTAAGTATATATTCAGGGCCCAAGGAGGTTTCCATGCAACTACTCTGGCGCCCAAGTAGACTACACATCGATACATAGGGCGTTCGCGTTTCCCACTTTTCCCCACTTTCTGGAGATGGTGTTTGGGGGCAAGTAACAAGGCCCAAAGAAGTCCAGGTGGTGTTTTCAATATTCTTTCATATCAGCATGGCGGCATTCCAGTAAGTTTTTATCCAGAGGCCCTTGCAGCAGCGGTAGCAAAGACGCCTGACAGCTTCATACCTAAAGCCATCAAGTTGCAAGGCTTCTCGGAACCTCATGTCTGAATTCACCCGGCCCGCATAGCGATAACGCTGCGCAGGCAGAAGCCCGTGCAGGAGCGCTCCAGCTCTCCTGGCGTGCCACCGTCAGCTGCAAGGAACGTCTCATGTCCTATAGTCCCCTTTAAGTAGATGGAGTATGGGGTATATGGGGATCTTATTATATACCCAAAGCCATATTTCATCTACTTACCGGGGGCTATAACAACGGGGTTCTTTGTTGCCCCTTCAGGTTCTCCCTCTTGACGAGGGTGATCTAGGGACATTTGGAGTTGACAAAGGCGGCTAAGTAAGTAAGGGGGAACCCAGTGGGGGGTACCCCAACCCGGAAAAATGGGGCTAATTACCCAAGTCCCTTTATTGGCCTATCGTGGGTGGCTTTCGCTTGGCTTCTTTGACATGGAGGTGTGTTGAGAGCTTTGTTTGGGGGACCCCGGGATATATATGCCGGCTGGAAGAGGTGTTTGGGGTTTAGGGTGCATGTCTCCCAGATGCTGCAGAACCACGATATTCAACGCTGGCCTGGTGCGAGGTTATTCGTCCCCCATGTTGTGAAGCAAGACTCCCACACCTCACACCCTAAACACCAAGGGAGTTATAAGCAGATGCGTCTTTGTCCTAAACCTCCACCTGTTCTTTGTTACTATTGTTCTGACGGCTTCCCACCGCGATTCTTCATTTCGGTGTGATTTTTGGCAGGAAGGGTCCCCCCCCCTTCCCCCAGAGTATCATTGTCCTGGGACCTATATTTGCATACATGTTATTACAAATCAGATCTCACCTCTCTGCTCACAGTCCTGACCCTAAACAAAGGATTCCAAACAGGGACGCATGAGTTTGAGTAAACCGGCCGCTACGGTAAACTTGTGCCCTTACTGCATCTGCTCGTCCCGTTACAGCACATCCAAAATGCTAAGCTCGCCTTACACTGTCCGGCACTGTTCCCCCCAATCCCTTGAGACAGACTTTCGACGCCCTATACACGCCGAATCCTGAGCCCTAAGACCTACAGCCCCAACGCCTGAAGCTTCAACTCTTCAAACCCTGCATCTTAACCCTAGAGGTACAGCTTAAAGCCCTGCCAGGATTCCCCAGAGCTCCGAGCACCGGCGACCGAGGGCGGGCAGTGAGGATGCTCAGCCGGTGCCGGCGGAGGCAGGGTCAGGACTTGGGGCTTGGCCTTGGCATTCATGTTTGAAGGTTTGTGGATTTAGGCACGGTTTGCGGTTCCGGGTAAAATTACATAAAGGTTGATGGTAGGCATCAGGGCGCACATATTCGTATATAGGGGATTGTATAGGGGTCTACTATCTGGGTTATTAAGGGGGATGCTAGGAGTTCAGACTATAGCTGCTATAACTTTGAATTCGTCACCTTTTTCTGGCCCAGGCCAGGAAAATGCGGGATGTTGAATGGCATTCAAATGAGGAACTCGTAGCTTTTCTGCCCTTGAGTCCAATCAGCTGGCAGCCCTAAAGTCTTAGCCCTAAACCATTTTATCCTTTAAATCTGAAGCGAAGAAACTTGGGTCAGACTTTACCCCACATGAGCCCTAAACCCTAAAGCACTTTATCTTTTAAACTAAGCCAGTCATTGTCATCCTTCAGCAGTTGCAGGTGGCCCCTCCTAGCGATCCAGTCTCCGGTCGCTCGCGGAGGCAGGGATACGAAGTTGGATGCAGCATGAGCTTTAGTCCAAACTCCTCAAAGGGGGGTTATACGGGGGATTATATAAACCTCTTTTATTGAGGGTTGAGAGTCGAAACTCCTTCTGAGGGTCATATAGGGGATAATATAACCCCGTTTGGATGTAGGGTTTAGGGTCTAAATTCCTTAAAGGGAGGTTTTATCCGGGAATATATAGGGGACTACTACACTATGGCTCACATGGTCAAGGATTCTTGGGTGCAGGGTGGAAGTTGAGGGCTTTCGGCGGGATTGCGGGTCCATTGATAGTAGAATTCCTTAAGCCTTAAAGCCCTAAACCATATATTTCATAAAGTCCCTAAACCCTAGGAGGCCTTCATAAGTTGCAATCCCGCCATAGGTTGTCCCATCCCCAGTACATACCTCCATTTCTGAGTACGCTGCTGAGAAACCCCTCTGCAAGCTACCCACCCATGCTTGGCTCTCGTTTGCTGTTCACTGCCACTGCCGATATCTCGTGTTGAGCTGTTGATGGTTGCATCCCAATCATTTTTTCAGACAGCAGGCTGTTGTACTGCCGTTGTCAGAGGACTGTAGTAGAAGTCGCATGGATCTTTAAGCTGATGCATTGCGAACATCTGGCCTTTCTCTACTGCGGCTTGGCCTCAAGGAGAGAAAGTCGACTCACCTTGCAGGCTAAGCTCGGAAGCTGGCAGGCCTCAATAGTTTTGGTCTGGAAAGCCCCTACCACCAAAGTGCCGACCCCGAAGCCTCAACCCAAATTCCACACTCGAATAAGTTGTCCTGGTATCCTGCGTGTCTAGAAACAGGACACTGAAGAATGTCCGGAAGGAGGGCTCCTTCCGAAGACATCCAAGTCGTGGGCTTAAGTTAAGGTCTGAAACATGGCTTGGGCCAGCGGATTGTTAGGAGCATTCTGTGTCTAGGTGTGTCCTTTTTTTGATCGTGTGAATGTGGGACCCAGCCGCCCTGCAAGCTTTGACCCATCCGGAGCTTGCAGGGCATGCTAGAAACTGCCACTGGGCATGGTATAAGCTTGACTGGCATCTTGCTTTGTCTAGCATACCCTTTCAGCCCTGAATGATACTTTGCATTCGGCTTCAGTTGCATCCATCCTCATGAGTTACGAAGGTTCTGGAAATTTCTAAGACCAGCCCATGTTTCCCGCAAACAGCCCACGACCCGTTGAAAGGACTCCTAGAACATGGGAGCCACAAGTCTCAGAACCACTAACAATTTAAGGTGTAGGGGTTACACAGGGTTCAGCTCATGAGAGCGAGTAGCATCAGGCGTTCTTCATAAAACATTAGGACCCCTATGGCCATCATATGACGAAAACGGGCTGGGGTTGCCAAAATCCTTGTATGAATCCTGGCTTCAGGCGGCGTGAGTCAGAGAGCTCGAACTTCCAGCGGGAAGTGTCAGCCAGCTCAGGCAAGTTTCTGGGTTTGGGTGTCGTGAGAAGTACCAACGACCAACAATGATGGAGATGCGCCGTAGCCATTTTGGCTCCAGCGTAGCGTTTCTTGGCTTAGATTCTGAAGCTTGTCGCCCAACCCAACAGTCTGCAGAAGATGGCTCGCTTTGCGTCAAAAGCCCTTGCGCTCGCAGCCGTCGTGGCAGTGGCTATGTGGACTCATACCGCTTTGAAGGCATTCTGTGGGAGCTTTTTGAGCCGACCAGAAGGAGGATCCCAGACCGCCTGCAAGGGATGGCGCTTGGACAAGATGGAGGTAGGGCCCACGGGCATCGGTCAGCTTGTCGTGGCAGAGGGCTTCTTCATCGGTGAGAAGGCCATGTACGAGATTTGCAACAAGCAGGGCCGCCGCTACCGCATGCGGCCTTTCGCTGAGGAGCGCAAGACAGATGGCTCTGTTCCCGGCATCTTCCAGCTTGGGCCTTTCAAGATCCACCTTGAGCAGGCCTTCCGCGGTGGCAGCGGACCCTTCTCCCTCGTTTCCGAGCGCCCTGAGGGCTACTCGGGCAACGGCGGCACTGCCGGATGGGGTGAGGACATTCCCACCAAGGGCGGCTACGGTCGTTGAGCTCGTACAAGCAGACCTGACAAGTCACAATTTTTCATCTCGTGATGGAACGACCCGTCATTATGTATAGACTAGACACTTGCCCGACCAAACTGCTAACGTGAGCAGCAAAAATGCGGTTGTCGGTGATGCTGTGGGAAGCATGGGGGAGCATAAATGGTGTTGCAGAAGATTAAGTCGTGGGGTCCAGGTCCACATGAGAACTTCCGTGGATTCCTTGCACAGTCTGGTGGTTTTTCTGTAGGACTGCCACATTTCAAGCAGGAATTGCTCCTCTTCGCGAAAGCCACCCGCGTGAGAATTCCAGACCTAGATGTCTTGAGGCAAAGAGGTTGTGACGGCTTTGGCTTGGAGTCAGGTAATAGGTTTTCCATGCCCTTCTCACGTAGCAGCTTGCGTAAAGCAGGGGCGCCCCTTAAAAAGGCCCCCTGATTTTTTTCGAAGCCCCGCATTAAAGATGAATAGTTTTGCGTCAACTGCCCGGCTACTCGAAATGCAGAGCCGAAAACGGATCCCGGCACCCTGCCCGACCATCCCAACTACCTCAAACCTATAGGACCTGAATCACCTCGCTTCATTGACATGTGAAACTCAAAAGAGACGGGGGGATGACCTCGGACCCCAAACCCCAATATAATATTATAGTAGCTTCAATTTTCTTTGCCATTATCCCAATATAACCCCGATATACGATAGTAGCTTCCACTTTTTTCCATTATCCCGAAATAGGTACGCCCTGACATTAGACTCCCAAGCTGCAAGGAAGGCCTTGCTTCATGATACCGCGATGGGAGTGATGAAGCTGGAAGCTGTAAAATTTCTAGACCCTTGGCTCGGCACCTTCCGCTCTAAACCCTAGCCTGGGGCTTCAAATAGCACAATGTAGGTACTATTTATAGACATTGGGGCCCAAAGTAGATATTATTTATAGACATGGATCCCCAGGGCTAGGCTGCAAATCCTTGAATGGCAACAGTTCCTCTAATGCAGGCGGGAAAACACTGAAGTGGAACCAGGCTAAAGATAAATCGTACCAGTGTCTCCCATTGTCCCATTGTGAATACCCGGCCCGTTGCAAGCTCAAACGGCTTCGTGTGCAGTTCACAGCGCTTCCGAGATGCCACTTTCCGCAGGTGTTGCCGACAAATTGCCGCACAAGGGTCCAAGTATAGTTGTATGGATGGTGTATTTCAGGGAGTAGGCCACTATTTGGTGCCTGGCCTCTTAATCTGGGTTCCCGAAGTCGTATACACTTTGCTGAGAGTATGTGTTGGGTTTGATGTGCTCAAAAGTTACATGAGGTGCAAGGTATATCTCCTTTGGGTAGCCTTCAGGGCTTGACTGTTACTGAATGCTGAATCCAGGAAGGCCACGGTTCCATTCGGTTCGGTTTGTCAGGAATATAACCCTCTGTTCACCTTTGACCGGCTCGAGACGGTTCGATTCGTACGGTTTGGTTCCACGGTTTCTCCGGTTCCTATTGTAGATTCCTGGGTGTGGAGCAGTGCGACTCAGACACTCTATAATAGGTCTTCGCTGGCGGTGGGTGTTTGAATCCACAACTGCTTTCTCCAGCATTACCTCACGGGATTTGGGCAATGTGTGATGACAGTCCGCTGTACTTCCTTACGGGCATACTTTCTAAAGATGAAGAGCGTCCATGGATAACAACAAGAACCCCCCACTGTTGAGAGCTCCTGATCCCAACGGCCTCCTGCACCTGAGGATTTCCGGATGATGATGGTTTGGAGTTTTGCCAGATTCGGGGTACCTTTTTCAGGATTCCCAGAAAGAATTAGGACGCGGTATCTGTATTGAGGTCCCCCTATTTATGGAAATGACCATTTCTGGGAAAGATGTTTCGCAGCATCCACCCAGGCTGATACCGCCGCATTGATGAACCCAGAATGTCATGAGGCAGTTGTACAATTTAGGGCTTAGGGCTGGTATTGTTCGAGATAAAACTTTCGTAAACAAAAAACTAAACTCATGGCAGCCCATTTACAAGGATAGGAATTCGCAACTGTTGAGTTCAAAGTCTCCCCTTCAGGCAGCATGGGGCATGTACTGTCGATGGACGCAGCCTTGCACCATGGGCGTCCAAAATCAGAGTGGTGCGGGAGTCCTTGCCGGAGCAGCATGGTTGACAGCAGTATGGTATTGGTACGCAAAGACCGTAAGATCGGATGTTTGCCCACGCCTTTTGTCTGCAAGTTTCTTGTTCCGCGGCGGCGTTGAAGGTGAATAAGGACTGCGTGATGGTGATATTGCATTGCGCAAGGTGTTGAAAGGACATAGGGTGTATGGTTTCGGTACTGAGGAGGAGGGAGGCTGTCAGCTGTGCCGGTCACTAGGAATGCTGAATTGCTGGAGTAGTCTAGCATTCATCATCCTCCTAAACCCTAAACCCTAAACCCTGAACCTACCACCGAATGGAAGTGGCAATCTTTGCACACTTGGAGTACACACAAAGTCTCTCAAGCCTTGAACCCTAAACCAGTATTCTGCAGCTGTAGAGGGAGACCATCTAGCCATCCAACAGGGCCCATGTACCTATACAGTGTGTACCTGCCCCCCAACAGGTATATGGGAAGCCCTTTGGGACCTAAGTAAGTATGTACTACGCACGGTCGCGCTACAATCCACATATATTGAAGGTCTGCCTCTGGGCGACTTGATGCAGGCGGGTTCAGTTTCGGAAGTGTCTCAACATGCAAATATGCTTGTTGCCTAGGTCTCCATATGACCCCGTAATCTCCACGTGCCTCTGGGGTATCATGTACTTAGAAACGCTCATCTCAATTCCCGTGTTGCGGATTCGTTAGATCAATTTAGCCAACATGCACCAAGAGCCACAACTATTTTCTGTTGTTTGTGATGTTTGTGTCATGTACATGTATTCCCTGTTGCGTCATGGACATGACATGACTCAGGTAAACCCTGAGCCGTCGACCTGGTAGCAGAACTGAGCTCACAGTTCGCCCATCGCCCAGCCCTGTAACGCTACATCCTTATACCTTCACGGTGTCGATCTACTTTTCCATTCGCTGATCCATTTGATTGTCCAGTATTAGGCTAATATCCCCGAGCCCTATGCGATCCCGATCTATTTGTATACCCGGTTTGTTTTCTCTAGCAGCACAGGCAGCTTCAATGACACAGTGAGTGTTGCAAAGCAACAGGTTAGTAACGGTTAGTATCCCATTGCTTGTGATTTGGATTTGCAGAAAATGGCAGAGAGGCCTTTCCAGGGAAAGGATATCTTTCCCACATCTAGGTACCTGCGCGACTCAGAACTACTTTTGGGAGCCTTCGAAGCACCATCCAATCATCTCTTTTGTATCTCTAAATCACTTATCCCAGATCCTCATTGGACTTGTGTCATTAGTGGCAGATACTCTAGTCTGTCTATGGTCTATGCCCTGTTTGTACACAATAGGAAACTTATTTTCTGAATCAAGTAGCCTCCAACCTGGCATAGACACCTGAAAGTGAGCCTTTAACCCTAAACCTCAAACTTCGAACACTTTTGAACCCTGACAAGACCTTAGACACCAAACCTGAGGCTGTTAACCCAAAACTCGAAAACACTCAACTCTAAACTGGAACAGGGACTCAAAGCCTTGCACACTAGCCTTTACACTTCGAAACCCTAAGCTGCGCAGGGGGCGACCCGAGAGGAGCCAAAGCCCGCCCCTGCACAGGCGCTGGCAACTGAATGGCTTAGGAGTGTTGTCTAGGGGTTTAGGGTTTAGGGTTTGGGGTCCTTACACTCAGCATTGTAGTGGGGTCTATATTAGGGTCCCCCTATTTAGGAAAACTGCCTTGGCCCTCCCCCTTTTAATACAGCCCCCGCTGATATCATGAACAAAAAGAGTGTTAACTGAAATTGGTGGGCTGAAGGCGTAGGATCTGGTATTAAAGCTCTGATGGCTGGGTTCGAATAGGATTTTCAAAAGGGCTGCCTGGAAAGCCTCAAAAGTTGCAGGGGCCTAGGGATGGTAGAGTAAAGAGGGCCTCAGAACAATGGGCGTTATTGAGAAACCAGGGTCCTGCCGGACTATATCTTTGCCCAGGCGGGAGGGAAAATGATTAGGGCTAAGATCTTCAAGGTCTTCAATCAGATCTCAAAAACTGAGATTTTGTATTTGGATTCTGAATCTGAAGCTCAAAGGCTGACCCTGAAAAGGATTTCAAAAGGCATGGATGCCTTGTAGAATCAAGGGGGAACGAAAACTTTCCTATATTTCTAGGGTCCCAGAAACTAAACACATTATAGAGGGCCTCTACAACAAAGGAGGTCCAACATTACATGCCTGAATTTCGTTACGTTTAACTTTCCTGAGTACTGGGAAACCTATTACTGCCAAGCATTACCCTAAACCGAAACCTTAAACTCTACACCCTAAAACCTAAATCGCACAATATAGACACCAGATTCCTTGGCAATGTTGTGGCAGTGTTGGCTTTACTCTTTCTTGGTGTAAGCTGCAGTCAGCAGTTCATTCAAGCAGAGCTCACGAAACTCTGAACGCAACATATACTTTCACATGCTTCCCACGTTACATGTTCTTTGGCGATTTCACGATTCTCCTCAAACTGCCCGTTATTTCAGTCCGGCAGAGTCAGGCAACTCTGGACGTACCCGGTTTCTTGCGTCAACAGGGGTGGGCAAGATGAACTGCATCACTTCAGACCTCAGACAACTCTGACAAAACTGTCCGGGTTGCCGAATTTCCGCACACAGGGTGGCAAGCACAGGCCAGGATCGAAACGCCATCCAACATCAAGGGGACAAGCAAGGTCAGCCCAGGATTGACTTCTCAGCTCAGAGGCTGCAAGGCACAGTAGACCAGGCAAGGCGGCGCGGATTGCTTCCCTGACCCCCAAAATCTCTGCTAATTCCTTGCTGCAATAAGACATACTTCCCTGCTGGCGATGAACGCATAGGTATTCCATGTTTGCTCTTGACCTGCTGGAACTTGTAGTAAACATCCCTG